ATATATGTTTCATGAAACACTGTCTCATCACTCGTGCATTTTCTGTTTTTGAAAAAACAAGGAAATCACCTTTCATGTCTTTCATCAACATTCATTCTTCCATGAAAGGGGTCATATACATTGAAACATCTTTAAAATCCTCAGTTGTCTCAGGCCAAGACTTAGATAATTGTACAATATCCCTGCCTAATAAAATTTTTAAAAAATAAATAAGATATATTTGATAAAATTATATTTTATAAAATAAAAACTAACTCTAATTAACAAAAGACTCAAAGTACAAAATAAAAATTATTCAAGAATCAATTTATGAAACACATAATTTTTTTTTAAATATCTTAAAAGATTTCATTTATAATTTTGCTCGAGGCTTCATTCATAATATCATAAATAATCTCATTAACAAACAAAGAAAATACATATTCAAATCTCATGGGCTGGACTCAGTGCTATTGAGATAGTCCTTTAAGTTGATGGACCCTTTCCTATAATGTTTTAAGTTCTTGGGCTTATCTGCCTACAATCTGACATGAAGTTAAGTTAAATTTTGAATAAACCTCAATGTTTTTCTTTGTAGATAAAAAGGGTATTTAAAAGTATAGTTGTGTGATTTTTTTAAATTATTTTTTATTTAAAAATATATTAAAAATATATTTTTTATAAAAAAAATATTTTTGACATCAATATATTAAAACAATTAAAAAAACATAAAAAATAATTAGATGTCTCGTGTTTCACACATTTCTCACCTGTTTTTTTTTTTTTTACCAGTCAGTATATGTTAATATTTCCTGTCCAAATGCAACAAAACAGCATCGCTGTGGAGGAAAATTGATGAAGAATTTATCAATGTGCTAGACAGAGGAAACTCATTGAGAAATGTGAAATTACCTTTTTGAGAGATTTATAAAAACTTCGGGACTAAATTGATAATTAAGTGAATCCATGGGAGCTAATTTTGAGATAGCCCATTGAATATTTCCACGCGAATGAATTTGTAACATTTCTAACTTTCATTCTGTCCCTTAGATGCCTGATCTCCGGAAACGATTTTACTTCCGCTCCCTATCACTCGGCAAAATCCACCACAATCTTGAGCCGACACATATCCCACACTTGGCTCATGCTGGTGCCTGAGGAACCACGAAGGCGACACGTCCCCGACGCTGAAAGGGTACACGGGGAGGACAAATAACTCGCAATTGATTACACTGGCAGCCTTTCCAGACATCTGTGCTCTCCTCTTCCCTCCTCAAAATTGTCACGCAATATATATTAATCGAATACCTCGAACGTCTATCCGATTATCCAAGCAACAAATCATCTGTGATCCTCTCTTGAATCTTACTACTTTTTCCTAGCTAATAATAATAATAACAATATCCATGGATTCAGC